CGCTGAGCATGCTGTCTCTGTTCGACGTTTACAACGAAGTGTTCTACTTTTATAACGACTCGTCGTCGTCCAAGTCAGTTCTGCTACTTTACGGGTTGGTGTTGCAGTATTCGTTTAGAGTTTTCACCATCACCATAATATCTCACATCACAACCAAACAGGTGAGTTCCGGTAGCTTTACCGCCAAATCACCTTACTTCTTTAGCACAAGGAGTACCGTGGGAACTCTCAAAGACTCAACAGGGAGTTTCCCCACAATCTTATATCTCTCGCCTATGATCTCATTTAAACCCAAGTAGAAAGCTTTTAATTTTCGAACCATGAAAATTGTAATGTTAGATTTATTAAAATGACAGCCGTACTTGATGGCCATAAGCTTATAGTAATTGATAAATTTACTTTCACGAATACATATTTAATTAACTATTATAATTATGTAGGTATTAATTACAAAGTTTAAAAACATGTTTCATTCTATAGCGACTTGCTTTAGTTTACTTATATGTATAAAAAAATATAAACTTAACTATTGATTCTGTGCATTATTTCAGGCACTCAAAGTAAAATCATTAATAACTGACATCAACAATCGATATTTGGACAACAGCACTAAGGATGAGGTGTCGATAAAGAATTTAGATAAATAATTTTGATATAACCTTCAAGCTTTTAATTATTGTCTATGCTTTTTTTTTAGCTACATTTATTTTTGGACCAAATACGTAATCGTACCATAGAGTTTACAGCTTGTGACTTTTTCACTTTGAACACTCATTTGATCACATCGGTAAGTGTGTACAAAACCATAACACTGTGTTTCTTTTTTAAGAATTTCTATGGTTTTATTTTTAAAGGCCATAGCTGTTGGAGCGACGTATCTTGTTATATTAGTACAATTTCATTCGGATATAAATTGAAGACCTTTTTTAAAAAATAATAATTTATGTTCCGAAATCTGACTAGTTAATTTGTAATGCACGTGTTTGAATTTTGTTCAATAATATCAAATTTGTAACCTCCTAGTTAATACACTGTGGCCAGAGTAATTTATTAAGGATAAAACACTTTTTTTTTAATAATAAATTACTATAGTTATTGTTGTTATGGTTAAATATTTTATAATTATTTATATATAGAAAATATACTCATAGGGCTTAATAAGAAATTTAATTTTTTTTTCATATGGTTTTTATACAATGTGATCTCAACTTTTTCTTCTGATAAAAGATAAACGTTACCATTTAAGTTTCAGAAGTTGCTATCAAAAAAACTAAGTTAGGAGGGAGGTTAATACAAATAAAATTGTGAAAAATTGAGATCACATTGGATAAAATTATTATAAATAAAAACTGAATTTCTTATTAAACCTTATGAGCTATTGAGTGGTTCATGATAAGATACCTATCACCTTGTATACCCCCAAAGTATTGTACGTTATTTAAATGGAGACAATATTTACTATCGTGCGATAGAAAATTGTATTAAAATATGTATGAAAGTTATTAATAATAATAGATTATCACCAAATATTATAATAAAAAATGAGGAAAAACTATAAAATAGAATGTGTGAGACTCAGTTTAACCTTGAATAGAGGAATTGCACATAATATAGGTGCTTTATATATATATAATTTTTTTTTTTTTATGATTCTGTATTAACTACAAATAAGATTGCCGCGAGTTTAGGTTACAAATTATAAATTTTAGGCTGAAGTTTTAAATGTTTTTGTTGGTTTAAAAAGCTGTTAAAACGGGACAGTAAACATTTTTGATAGACTCAAGCTAAAGACATATTCATGTGAAAAATAAATTATTATCGCAGAATATTTAATATTCCGTGGTTGACGGAGGGAGGTTAGAGGGCGAAGCCTTCTAATGGGAATTTTCCATGTCACTTAGTGAAACATTTTTCAAATATGCACCGCTGTAGAGAGGTTAACAAACAAAAGCTTCATTATTGCCGTTAATTCTCAAGTATCTTGACTGTCTGTTATTTTAAAAAGTTAACTGATACACTATTCTAAGCAATATTCTATGTACACATTATACATACTGTATTTATTTCTGCAGCTTATATGTAAATAAAATAGTTTTTACTTAGGATTATGTTATTGTGTACTCATTTCGCACAAAAACTTAAACGTTGTCGGTTTCGAGTAGGCATTTTACTCGCGGCGAAAATGTACAAGAACATTTTGATCACTTGGCCCGTTAATCTGTTTTGGAAAACTTGCGGTTTGTACGCAGTAAACTTGGACTATAACAAGTACCACTGGCCGTTCACCGTTTTTCTGCTGACCACTTGCGTGTACAATTTTGTGATCGCGTCCCACTTGATACTGTGCTCGAAAGACAAATGGTGCGAGGTGTTCTCCACGTATAGTTTTCCAATAATAGTCATGTACACCAGAATCGTGGCGGCCACCGCGTTCTTGGCCAGGATAGCCGTCGCGTACAATGTCCAAAGCAGACTGCCCAAGTACAAGGCCACGATGGAGGCGTACGACACGCTGGCCACTGCTTCGCCGGCCAAGTCGAGAAGGTTCGACGTGGTCTGCCTGGCCGTGGTGACTGTGTATCTGTCGGTTACCGTGCCCGTCAACGTGGCCAGACTGTGGTTCCTGTTCGAGCAGCAGTTGAACCCGATGCTGTTGATATCTTTTATATTCGTGTACGTGCAAAACATGAGCATGTGCTGCTCGGAAACGCACTTTGTCACCCAGTGCTACAACTTGTACATCCGGTTCCGCGACATCAACCAACGGTTGTGCGGGCTCGACGTGACGTACGAGGCTCGCGACAACGACAACGTGGCCAGCCACATGTATCCGTTCGACGCGAGCGTCGCGAGGCCGCCCGAACGCATCAGGGCTCGAGTGTTGTCCCATCTGGTGAAGATGGCGGACGAAAAGCACTGCTCGACGGCCGCCCTCGAAATGAAAACTCTCCGGATCGAACACTGGCTAATGAGGAGCGCCGCCGAGATCCTCACAGAACTGTTCGGCGTCCAACTTGCAATGTCCGTCATCTTGTTGTTCATGATGACACTGTTCGACTTGTACTACGAGATAGCCAATGTCTACAGCATAAAACTGTTCGTGTACGCATGGCTGTTGCAGTACACGCTAAGACTTCTGGTGCTCGTGTACGCGGCTCACTTGACAGCAAAACAGGCGAGTCCACATCATACAAATATTATAGCTTTCAGTTTTTAAGTACGTTTTTTTTTGGAAACTATAGGTAGATATGAACTTTAGGGAAATGTGATAGAGAAAAGACAGAGCGGTGAAAAACATTATTTTTACAACAGAGAAAAGAAATTTTTTTTTTTTTGTTGTTATTAGGGAATGGAATCGGGATTTTTTATATCAAATGTAATCAAGAATAAATTCCTGGACGTTTCTGCAAAAGAAGAGGTAAGCAATAAGTATGGGATACCATTTGTATATGTATGTATATTTTTATAGTTGCAGATATTTTTAAATCAAGTTTCAAGCCAACCAATCGAGTTCACCGTTTATAATTTTTTTACTTTACACACTCGCATTATAATGTCGGTAAGTAACTAAATGAATGAGTACAACCTAAGTTTATTGCAAAATGTTGAAGCTAATTAGATTTCTGACTATATTTTGAATTGTTTTTTTTTTTAAGGCTTTAGCAGCCGGTACAACGTATTTAGCGATATTGATACATTATTATCCAACTAAGTATTTATAACAATGTGTAATACATTAAAACAACGCATTATTGTTTAGAATATTAATTTGTAACTTTTACTATTTGATTTCAGCAAATAAATAATGGCAAGAGTGCACCGTATGGCTTACTAATCATCTGCGGTCTTGTTGTCCATAGTAAAACAAATTGGTCCAGCAAATACTCATTTTTTTTGCAGCGGTGCTTAAGTTGGGTTAGGTTAGGTTAGCACAATTTTTTTTGAAAATAACCAAAAATTTACAAAATACAATACAAAATATGTTAACAATAAAATAAATAAACAAAAACTATTGAATACGTGGATTTATTTAGATTTTTCTTCAACTTAAATTGCAACCATCTATCTCACTTATACACATTCAAAAAATATAATGCACCAAATTTCAACCGTGTGGGATCGGCAAGTCCAATCACTGAAAGATATGCTGATCTACTAAAAGCGGATGAACGCTTAAGTATCTGTCGTTTGATTAAACAGCGGTGGCTAGCAATTATTTTTGAAATTGATCATGTTGTAAGCAAATTAATGACCAAAAAATAACATTTTGGTTCTAAAAAAAGAGGCAGTTTTTATTAAGAATTAATTTTTTCATAATAATGTAAGCTAAGTTGAAATATAGTTTGATATTGTTTAGATAGAACTTCTTGACAGAGTACCTGTCAACATTGTAGGTCTTACAATTTATTTGTAAACAAAAATGTATACAATTTCGATGATAGAGTAATAAAATAAACAGATCAAAAACAATTATTTGAGAACAAGGTCAGCGACTGCATTCTTGTACTTGATAACGCTTAGCTCATCTAATCAGTCTAATTTTTTTTTACTGTAACATAACATAAAAAAATGGCTTGAATAAGAAAAACAGTGATTATTTTTAAAAAAAAGTAAAAAATGTATACTACATGCCTATCGGCAAAATAGAGGATTTCATATTTTGTTTGGTTTGATTAAGAAGATTGGCGAGTTATCTATCTTTTGTTTGTTATTCACAAAACTGCGGTTACTGACCTTATTGTTAAATACTTGTTAATGAATGCTTATTGTAAAGCTCTATCGTCACAATTGTATACATTTTTGTTTACAAATAAATTGTAACACCTTATCCATGTTGACGTGGATTCGCATAAAAAGCATTATAATTGCGGGATCAGCTCACTTGTTAATATTTTAAGTGTAAGAAACAAGAACTGGACCACTCGATCTGCAACATTATATTAGAATAATATATGAAGCCGCCATGCCGTCGCTTAAGCTCCTGTTACTTATCGCTGTATTCATAATTGGTACTGGCTGTGAAAATCTTAGTAAATCGGTAATATGCAAAAACTATAAATAATTTAGTTAGTAGTTCACTATTTAGGTAAATCGTGACAATGGCCGTATAGGATAAACCATTTAACGTAAGTTTACATAGTTTCTCAAAAAAATTATTGCGATTTTGTAGTTGTTTTTACTGAAAACATTTTTTTTTTATATTATTTTACAATATTTAACTTTTTAGTATTTTTCAGAGCTGTATTATCGTATCCCAAACGTTTGTATTTAATTAACTTTTTAAATAAAGAATAATTTTCTGAAAATGTTGACTAGTTGAATACCAGTTTTGAATAATTTCTTTTTAAGTTATAATTAAAAGTTATGTTCACCAAATTATTGTTAGTTTAAATATCTTACTAACTATATATACTTAAGCATTTAAACTTAATTAAAAATTTGTTCAAAAATTAAAACTACAAAATAGCAATAGTTTTTTTAGAGAAAACGAGTGTCTCGCTTTAAATAATGTATAAGAAACACTAATACAAAGCGTAAAGGATAATAAGAAAAATATTAAAATCTTTTTTTTTGTTTTAATATTGTTAAAATATATATAATATATATTTCATACTAGTATAATTATTCCTTTTGAACTTATGTCTTGTCATTTAATAACAAAGACTGGATGATTTTTTTTTGGACAGCTGTTATTAAAAAAGAAAATAATTACCTAGACAGTTATTATATGAGTAAGTATGCCATAGATAATCATAATTTGTTTTGCCGTTTTAGCCAGTCAATAAAATAGTTTATGTTTAGTTTGTAAATTTTTTATTGGCTATGTTATTTGAGATAAGTGACGAGAAGTAAGTCGAATATAGTTGTAGTCACTTACAAAAACAACGAGTTTAGGTGCCAAACGCCTAGGCAATAGACAGCTGATGTGCACATATTATAACTTGTTTACAGAAAATAAAGAAATATTTTATGAGTACAGCAATCAACAACAAACATGTTTGGACTACTGTGTCGAGCTCAGTGCTGAACGAGTCCGACAAGAACGAAACGATCAATTTCCATGCTGTGCTACCGAGTGCAGCACTAATAAACAACTTCACAGTGTATGTAATACTTATACTTGTGGAGAATAAACAAAAAAACTAAATCTATTTTATTAACATACGGTTCGTCTAGGTCATACAAAGATAAGAATTACTATACCGGAGTGGAAAAACACACAACGGATCACAATGTTACAATAAACGATACGATCGCCAAGGGATTTCAGTGAGAAAATACATAATAATAATAATAATTTATCACTATCTACTGTAAAAAAAAAATACTAGAACGACCGTTGTCTAGCTGTTATGCGTTCATGTTTAAGGGCATCGGACACCAATGTTTTTGTGTATTCTGTAATTGTTGAACCGCGGTGTGAAATATCGTTTGAACTAGTTTACGAATATGTGCTGACAAGGAAACTGGGTTTTTACGAGAACGTACAAACCGTGTTATTCGGTCAGGTAAAATAACTTTTTAGAATATCGGACGAATTCCAGTCCGAATTGCATTAATATCCAATTCGAATGTTGTCCTCAGATTGCATGCGACCTACAAGTGAGTGTAGACATTAAGGATGCGTGTGACATAACGTTTTTGAAAGTGTCCAAAGCTCATAAGGCATATAAAGGACAAGGTAATGACAGTTGAATTATACCGTAAGACCAATGTAATGTGTGGATTATAATGTATGAAAACGGCGGATTATAGATCACTCAAAAACAAAATATATTTATTTTAAATTTTACAAAAAATTAGATTTCATTTTGAATGTGTTAAAACTTTTATAAATTATAAACTATTCATTCGATCAGTATTGAATCCATCTATGTTGTCATTAGTTAGCTGACGTTTCAAACCTATTGCTGGGTCCATCCCAAAAAAAAAAAAAAAGTTTCCACTCATCCTGGGGGAAAGAGTTTTTGAAATTGTTTAGTTTATCTACAGAGCATATCTACAGTACTAGGTACAACTAAAGAATTTCTCACACAAGTTTGAAAAGTATTTTACTATTTTTCAAATAAGTTTAAGATTGCTATACCTGGCTGACTGCTTAAGTATAGCATTTGATTTATTTACTCAATAATCTATTATACTAAACTTGATCAAAAATATTTCTTTATCTAGAAATTATTGTTGTATACTACTTGTGTATGTTTTAATAATATTTATAGAGTACGATTCAGTGAAAGTTTCGCATTATTCGAACCAGCATACGACCATATTGTGGGCGCCCAACGAAAATGAACAGTTTGAATTTTTAGAAAATAACCTTTTGACCCAACTCGTTGTTCGGTACGACGTCGATCACGAGTCCATGCCGAATTTACTCCTTGTAAGTAATAAAAAAAAAAGGCAATTCATTTTACTGTGTTATCTTGACGGTATTAACTCGTTTGGAATATTTTCTGTCCTCAGCAAAATGACGAGTATTTCGTTCACTTTTTTGCACCCAGCAATCTAAAACATTTTAGAACACATGCTATATTTGTTTTGGACATGAGTTCTTCTGTGGGTGAACTGAAGTTGTCGCAAATTAAAAGTGCAATGAGAAACATATTATCCGAAATGAAACCGGAAGATTACTTCACTTTGATCGTTTATTCGGGAAACACAAGAGTAATATTCACACTATTCTAATTCTATGCCTTACTAAACTTATTGTTTATTGCTGGTAGATTTGGGCGGTAAACTCGAAGGAGCATAAATATAATGAACTGTCCTTTAATGATGTAATATTTGATGATAAAGACAATGCTGAAAATTTGTTGAAACGCTATTTGGAAGACAATACGACATTAATTCCGATCGAGGCAAACAAAAACAATATAAATGAAGCGAAAAAATACATAAACCAGTTAGAATCAAAGGAGCGTAAGTATTCATATAAAAGTAAGTAATTGTAAAATCACCGAAACAGGATGTTCTATAAAATTGAATTATGTTGAGTTCAAAACGATCAGTGCGTAAATTCAATCAATTGTGTGTTTAAAAACAATAAATCTTCGATAACCAATTTATAGGGACCAACGTAGGATTTGCGTTAAATGCATCACTAATTATTGCTCATGATGGATTCGTTAATTACAAAATACAACAATCCGACGACACTATAAAACCGATTATTTTCTTTCTATGTGAAGGAATACCTAACGATGACGATCAACAAGAACTAATAACTTCACATTTAGTGCCACTTAACCATGCAAAGTGAGTCTGTTAGTGTTATTTATAATTTATCAACAATCACTGATAATAATATGTATTTGCTATTAGCTATTCAATATATTGTTTCGATTATGACAAAACGAAAAGCCTCAAGTTCTTAAAAGCTATATCTTTTCGTAGCAACGGCTTCACAAAGATAATTTATCACAAATCCGACGCTGCTGTGCGGATAAAAAATCTCTACAAAGAAATATCTACACCTCTTTTGTCCGATATCAGTATCACATATGACAATAGTCAAGTAACATGATCATGTTATGATAACACTTGACAAAACGAAAACAGAATGTAATTTATTATTTTACCGGTTTTAGCCAAAATTCGTAACGACCACATCATTCAAGTATTTCTTTAATGGGTCCGAACTGATGGTTGCTGGAAAATTAAAGAATCCAAATAATAAAATTAACTGTTCAATAACAGCACAGGCATTTCAACGCAAGTGCTTTGGTCCATGTTACACGGAATTATGTCGAGGTCCTGAGAAAAAAGAACAACGTGAGCAACAAAATATTATTAAAAAATAAGTTAAATATAAAAACATACGACAAAACCAATATTTACATGTTCATTTTTTGCAATTTATCATTTTTATTGTTGCAGGTGATGTGATAAAAAGATTCTTTGCTTGTATGCAACTAAAACATTTGATAGATCAATTTGAAAGCACAGAAAAAACGGAGAAAAAAAAAGAAATCAGAAATGCATTTTTAAATCATACTAGAGAAGTTAGTGAACTCCAATGTCAATCATATAATTATTTTAATTTAACTTGTTTTATGTATATTTAAATTATATTTTATTAGTTCGGGTTTATTACTACATTGATTCAAGGGTGTCAATATGTTATTCCCAACATACCGCTTTCTTATTCGATAAAAATATTTGATGTTGAAAATAATGGAACACACTATTATGAAGATCAATTAATAGAGAAATTAATTTATGAGTACAAGAAAAATCACAATGACAAATCAAATGTTAAACAAATCAATGACAATCAAACTATTAGCAACACTAACACACAATCAACCGTATCATACAATGCAAAGTTTTATTCATTTCGTTCTCAATCGTCCACACATGAAAATTGTAAGTATTTTATAATACTCCAAGTTATAAATAGATTAAAAAAACGTACAATACAAAATATTATCTGGTCATAACTATTTTTCTTGATAATAATTTAGCTACCTTAAGGTATTTAATATTTTTTTTGTATTTCAGTTGCAATGGTGTCTCATGGTTAGAAATCAATGTCACTGATTTCATAAATAAAAATAATACAATTTTGTCAACAATTAGAAAATTAAGTGTTTTGTATTAGTATTTTGGTACCATTACGTTTTATCATAAAATATTAAGTTGTATAAGAACATATTACACAAAAATATACCAATAGTTTTTTTTTGTTTAAATTATTGAATTTTTTTCAATGGGATAATTGTCTAATGATCATAAAATTTTGGTTCAATCATAGCCTAATAGTTACAATGCATTAATCATATTATTGTACTTCTCTATAATATTATTATCCACTATAACAATAAAATAAGAGTTTGTTTGTGATACCTTTTGAAAACATGTTTACCTAAAACTAAAATGACACTTATACCTAAGAGATGTATAATACTTCAATGGGTAACCATATAGTAACTGGTAAGTATAATATTACTCGCTTCGATCTAAGAAATCATTTTATCATTTTACATCTTATAATTGATGTTGTATAAAAAAAAATTAATAATGGTTAGTAATTTTTACTGATTGTTATGAAACGCGAAATTGAATTTTACACTGTCCTTGTTATAAATGGATATGGGGATTTAGTTCTATGTTTAAAAATTAATAATTCTACTTTTGCAAACAATATTTGTATTTCTAGTATTATAATTAGCCAGTAGAAAGTGAATTAAATAAGTTAAATGTCTATTACGCGTTTAAATGTGTATTGTTTAAGTCAGTTTCATTTTCACTGGTTAATACCCCTAATATGATATATTAGATTGAGGCATCACAGTATTTGTTGGTGCATTTAATTTTTAAATGGTCGAATGTGGTTTATAACAATGTTAACCGTACCTTAACAAATACACATTGATATTATATTGTTTTTCAAAACACACTATTAAAATACTAAATTATATTTTATACTCTACATAATATTTTAGTTTACATTACAGAAAAAATTACAGACATATTAATAACAATTTATTGTATGCATCTATGTGTATGTATTGTACAGCGTTGTGCACATCATATTATATGTAACTTTGTGGTAAAACTTGTTGTCAGTTCATCGTTTGCGTTCAAAAAGTGAGCACCTTCAATGGCCGTCGTCCGACGGATCTTGTTGTCTCTTTGCCGACCGACTTGGGTCTTCTGTGCGATTTCTCGTATCTTTGGGATGTGATGGTGATTGCAATGCGTTTACTGTGGGAATTCCATTCACGAGGGGTTGTTGTTCGTCTGGAAGTTGACCGATATCGATATGGGATGAACGATGACCGATGATCGGTTTTCGGAAATCACACTGTCCAAAATTGGCGATATCATCTGTCTGTTGATGGTCAACGGTATGTAGTACGACCCGTTGGCGTGCAACGCGAATATGGGCACCTTCTGACTGTCCTCGTTGCAAGTACCGGAATCCTCCGTCCTGCTTCGTTTCCGGCCGTGTGTGTAGTAATCGGGCAAGCTATCTCCGCTGTTTTCCGCGCTGAACCGCTGTTTGATGTCCGTCTTGAACTTGTACATCGAACCGTTGGACGAGTGCAAGTCCGTGTACGACATGTTGAAACGGTCTGGCGAAGTCTGAAAAGAAGAAATGTCCAAAATAAATATCAAACAGCACAGCGAGACGCTCTTTTTCACAGGAAATATCAATGTTTTAAACATTGTTTTTACCATAAAAAAGTATGAGTCAACTTGACTTTCTCAGATAAAAACAACTATTCATAGTTCAATTCACAAGTAGAGAAAACCGGCATAAACAGATCTACAAGCATTAATGGAACGTTTCTATAAGAATCTGGAGGTTTATTAAATATCCATAAAAGCAGTGGAAAGGCAAAAATGTATTTTAAAATATTATTTTTAGTAATAGGGTTGATTAGGGTTAGTTAAGACGTGGAAGGCATTTACCCCTAACCTAACCATTTCATACTCCAAAGATTATAACGACTTGATGATGACGAAATTTCTACATTTTTATTGTGATTGGACACTTAAGATTTTGCACACACATACTTGGTCGTTTGAAGTGTTTATGGAAGACTGAGACTTGGAACTTTTGGAAATCATATCGCTCAGCTGCTGGTGGCTTTCGTCGTACGATCCGTCGACGGTATCTTCGGTTTTCACCAACAAGGGTCCGCCGAGTCTGTTCACTTCAAGTATAATCTTGTCTTTGACCACGTCACGCACTACTTGTTTACCTGCAATACGACAAAATCATTATATTGGCACCGGTTTATAGTGTTATACGATGAGCTACAATGATAACTTACATTTTATGACCTGGGCGCAGTGCTCTTGCAAGTGGTTGATAAGCGACAAACACAAACCGTGGCGGGGCGGATATCCATGTCCTTCGACCAGGTACTGCATGGTTTCGGTCAAACATTCAAAAAATCCCATTTTATACTGTTCAGTGATCAACATTGATTTTTCAATTGGCTCTGGAGACTTTTCCGTTTCAACGGTTTCCGGTTGTTTTTGATTACACGTTCCTAGCGAACCTGTACAACGACAATAATGATGATTTAGAGATCTCCTTCATCTCTTTCGATTTCCTACCAACTAACTATTTGGGATCGTCCACCCTTGTCATAAATCCCCACTCAACACCACGATCTCTCACACCAGCAGTCTTCAATCACATTCAACCCGTCAACCCCTTGTCCTCTTCTTCCAAACTTATATTCTGTTTTACATCTACTAATCCTTACTCCGCTTCCTTTAAGCACTATTTTTCAAGCCTATTGTTAACTTCTTCCGGTAAAGATTTAGAGGATTTTTTGAAGTTGTATGCTTACCCGACATGGATACGTGTGACTGGAGGTGTTTCATGTGTTTGATTGCCATCTCGACGATTTCTGTCTTTTCCACTCGACCTCGTCCTTTTTTCATGTACTCGGCCGGGATAAGCCGTGACAAATCAGCCAGACAACTGTTCATTCGGTCGCGTCGCCGTTTCTCAATGATGCGATGGGACATCGGGTCCTATTTAGGATCATAAAAAATAATAGAAATTAATAGGATTTTGATAGAGCTCACGCAAATAATCATATGGTGAATATATACAGCTATATTTAAATAACATTGCTTGAAAACCGCAATAACAACAATAATAAATACAAATGAATGGGTCGTTTAAAAAACAACATGTGGCGTTATTTTTACAAAAAAATTACTTTTTGTAAAATTCGATATGTACAATGTAGTTACGTATTATATTTAAAACCTACATTTCAGGCCAAAATACAATTTAATAAAAATATCGATTATAAGACATTGAAATCACTGCAAAAAAAAAACTCCAGTCAATATGTATAATTATACATAATTCGTAAAATTAAGTTTTGTTTGTTAAAAAAATATACTATGTTAAAAAAGAATACGATTGTTCATCGTTTATTGTTTTGTATAATATTATGTTTAATAGTTACTAAGTTTTAATACTTTGTTCAATATAAATATTATGGTCAAAAATATTCAAAAGTTTTTGCTAGAATGTTTATAACATTTCTGTGTTTGTTTAGTTTTTCTGTTTGATACTCTGTGTTCTGGACTTATAGACTAAACTGTAGTTATGGTATTTATAAAATATAATCAATGCCATTTTTAATAATTATTTTTTTTTTAAATGTACAGACAAATTGTGCAATGGTATTAATAGTATGTCTGTGTTATGTTTCCCTTTTTTGTACATAAAAAAGTTTCTCACATTATTAATAATTAAATTTAAGAACTTGAGTTACCTATAAACATTGTATTTTTTGGCCTAAATATGATTTCCATCGGTTTGTTGAAACATGGTCAAAGGTAGACTATTTCTGAAACTATGAACTATGAACACAGGGTCCAAAAAAAAAACTCAAGATATACCTAAGTGCGAAATAAGTGTAATTTCCGATGTGATTAAGTACTGTACAGAAAGACGGAGTGAAGCAAAACCGAATACCTTCGGAGCTCGGCAACGAGGCCGAAATAGATTCATGCGATTTAAATAAAACGGCAATTTGTGAGTCGATTACTATCACGTTTCAGACATTACTAAGGAGTTAACACAATGGCCGTCTTTCGGCACCACCACGTGATGAGCAAACGACCCGGACGGCAGCGATCACGTTGTTGTCGCGGTCCCTCTGGTATGAACAACCGTGTGCTAGGCACTATAACGATCACGTTCCTGCGCTGACACAACGTGATCGAGACACAAGTTTGATGTATAGAGACTCGTGTTAATACTAAATATACACATACACACACACACACACACACACACGGGTAAATCACGAAAGTCGGACATTTCGGATGGTCGACAACGACGGTTCAACGTACCGGAACAAATTAATTTGCAAAAAACACACACACACACACATTAGACAGTGAGGCATCTATTACATCTATTATTTCTGGCACTGGGTACAGGTAAACCATGCGAAAAGCCAGTGAAAACAACAGTGTTTATAAACGCTAACGTACAAGGAAATCGTAACATAGTCCATCATACCAGCAGGCTTATATATGAATTAGCGATGTGACATAAATCCAGGTTTTCCGAGAATCCGGATTTCCGACACAAAAATTAGAGCTTTGGGATTCATTATGCTAATTTATGTTTTTTTATTATTTAAAATATGCGTACTATATATACAATATGCATACTATAATATACAAAAATATTATTTGTTTATTTCGTATAATATGTATATTGGTACATTAATTGTATATATCAGGATGATTCATTAAGGATAAGACATTTATTTTCTCCTAAAATAATTGCAACTTTATAGAATTTATTTTTGGAACTCAAACGGGAACTTACATATTTAATTCACTTTTTATATGTAAAATCATTTGCTGAAAATTTCTTACTGATCGAGAACCAATCTTTAATAACTTTAAAAGTAATATGCAAAACAGGTTATAGACCAGTCAAAATATTTTAAAAAGTAAATTAAATATATATAATCCCATTTGAGTTTCATTCATCAATAGATGATAGTTTGAATATTTTATAATATTGTACAGTAACAACAACCAAAGTATCTCCAAAAACATCAAAACTACAATTATTTTAATAGAAAATAAGTGTCTTATCCTTATAATGAATCAGCCAGTACATGTCACTGATTGGGTTTGACATGCTCAAACAAATCTAAAATTTGTTTTAAAAAACAAAAACTACAAAATTGTAATTAGATTTTAAATAAGAATTTAGCGTCTGCCGTTAAATGGATCAACAACGTGCTGCACGTGCTACCATTTAACATTGATGGGAGCACTTGTCGGCTGCACGTGAATATGTTGTGTACGTTTGGCGCTCGTGTAAAGAATACAATGTTATTTTTTTTTTTTTAAAGAAAATTGGTTTACGTCATTCGAATGCATTCAAGTTATTACCAATCTCCGACAATCACAAAACTCACAACGATAGTGTTGTTCAATCGTACCTATTGGTTTATTCAAAACAACCACAACACCATACCCGGAAAACAATAATAATATAGTAAATATTTGCTTTTCGCAAAATTTAGTACTAAATATAAATAATTTTTTATGCATTTGCACGCAATAGATAAGATGTAAAATTCGCCTATATTTCAATGTCATGATCGAATGATGTTTGTTATGTTCTGAAAAAAATGTCTTCACGACTACTAGCGTTGTCAAATTCAATGCAGTTTGTTGCTGGTATATTTTTTATATGCTAACCCGGCCAATGTTTACACAATTTGTGCTGTTGTTGTAAAAAACTATTACTAAAACGTAACGTCATAGTATTATTGTTTTCAATAGCTTTCAACAAAAACTTGATTATTTTTTTTATTTTATTGTAATCGTATAGTTACAATATAACACAATCATTGCTAGGCAGCAGTTTCATCAGTCAAACTAATTTAGTACGTTCAAATTTCAATCAAGTTTGAGATTTTAATTATTACACATTAATTTGTTATGTTAAAAAAAATAACAATAAACCTGACCATAAATGAATTATAGGTAAACTTTTAAAAATCACCTTAAATTAAACAAAATGACAGATTCATAGTAGCTTTTGTTAAATTTATTTAATTTAACTAGGTTGTAAATTACTTGATATTATCATATAGCATTAATAGACATTAGTATTGTTTTATTATACACTCTATGTAGTTAATAATTACACATAAATTATGAAACATCAAATATTATTAATTTATATACAGTGTGATTTACTAACTATGAACCAGTCAAAGTCTCAGAAGAATGAAGATATTAGACTCTTTAAAGTTATTCTTTTTTATATTTCATAGTTGATAGTTCATCCCATATTAATTTATTTTTCACAAAAAATTGGGATATATATTTGAAAAATATATCAAATTTGGGCTAAATAATAACTGTGAAAGTATAAAAAAGAATAATCTAAAAAAGTCTAAAATCTTTTAAGATATTAACTGGTTCATAGTTAGTGAATCACACTGTAGTCTGTGCAAATATTTTCTGTCTTGCAATTTTTTTAATTTATAATAAATATTGAAAAAAAGTCAAATAAAATAAAAAAATCCTATAGAATGGTTTGTCTATATAGTTGGCTACAAACATCATGTTAAGTAGTTTTCGTTTAAATAAATTGGGTAAATATAACAAAATATCGGATGTTTACTTAAAATTATTTGCATTACAATCAAAAACGAAATTCAGGTTATTTAAAAATAAAATAACATTTTGTTTTTAATCAGTATTATTTATACCGAGTGATCTATTTAACGCAAAAAACTCGTTTACTGGAAACATAATTACAATTTTAGTTTTTTTGAAAAAATGATGGTTTAACGTTAAACGGATCACCCTGTGGTATTTTTTTTTTTGGTGAAAAAAAGTCACGTACTTCTTTGCTGATTGCCTTCGGCTGATGGCACGTCCGATCCAATTGGTCGTCGATCATGATTTTGAGTTTTGACGTTTATAATTGGAACAAATTTTCGAATTCGCTATTTGGGTAGTGCACTTTTAGATAATACTTAAGGGATTCGTCTGACAAAACCAAACAAAGTTTACAATTGTATGTTTTTTTTTTTATGTCGAACTCTTTTTGGGGATTTTTTTAACACGACGGTACGCTAAGCAAGTGACGAAACGTATGAGATAAACGGTCGACAAGTAGCAAGTGACTGGCCGTCGGCAGCTTTGGCGTCTCGTCGATGGTTCGCAAAGCTTCGCGCAATAATAGCGTTACGTTCGGCGACGCGAACAGTGTTGCCACTTGTACGGGGTCAATCACACGAGCACCGCCAACGCCGACCGTGACGTGTGGTTGGTTTGTTGACATTATACTCGTTATTAAACATACTATAAATCAATTATTACTACATATTATCGTGTGGCACTTTGGTAATGGGGAAAGGCTTGTACGATAATTACCGTGCATTGGCCGAGTGTGAAAAAAAACTGCGGCACGAGCACATTGCTTAGAACGTGACAACTGACAGCCAACCGTAGTGCCGTCTAAATCCACATGCGCTACTTGTAGAGAAGAATATCAACAACAATAATTATTGCATTTATTATCATCTTAACACAACTGTTGCAACCGTTTGCCAATAAAAAAAACCAGATCTGAACATTTTGAGTAGCAAGTGTATACCTACTTAGATCAGAGATTGTACCTGGAAGGTACTTAAATGGGCCACAAATTCCAAGAGTTAACCCCTTATCCTTTAAAACATAGAAAAACACCAACAAAGTTTACATATGTATTAACTACGATGCCACATTATTTTATTTTTGAAAATAGAAGATAAGTTCCAAATTTTTAAAACATATTTTTTAGATATAATACTATAAAAAATTTTTTTTTTAAATAAACCCTTTCCCCCTAAGAGTTGAAAAACTTTTCATTATTGCTAAAAAAAACGCCCAAAAGAAATCACATTTTGACCATAATTAATTTTTAAGTTGCATATGTGCAGAAAAAATCAACAGCCAACAAGTTTCAGAAAAAATGTTTACTATATTTTTAACTACAATATAAGGGTAAACAACGGCAACACTAAAAAAGAAACTGTGAAGTAAATTTTGAATTTAACTACTATAAATATAGAAAATATTTAAAATTTTACCAAATATTTGCTTATTAATCGTTAAGTTTGTGATTTAAAGTAGAAAATATTAATTCATTTTTTGTGTTATTCTTTATTTAAAATATTAAAGCACTGAAAGTAAGACAATGTCTCTTCTAAAAAGTTCAACATAAGATTATAATGAAAATTTTCCTTTTTTTAAGCTGTAAAAATTGAATAAAATTAAATAGCGTGATCATAAACCATAAGTATACAACCATTTTAAAACTTTCTGAATTTAAAAAGTATTTAATATAGTCGAATTGCGGTTAAATAATACATTTTAATTTTGAAAGGTTTGAAAGCTTTAAGATTTACACAATTTAGTACAGCCATCTTTAAAGCTTATTAAAGATAGATAAGATATTAGCTTATTGTTTTATAACTCGCCGACTGACTAATTAAAAATGATTAATGTTTTCATTTAAAAACAATATAATTTTATTTTTAGTTGATTAAAATAGACTAACTTTACAACAATCAAAATTTTTTTTTTTTAAACAATTACAATCTTGCATTATTTAAAGATTAAGATATCATTTATAACTTTAACATTCGAACAATTCAGATGTTTGTATTTTATTTTCAAACATTGTGTTAAATTAAGAACGTTATATATAACGGAATGTTGTTCTCGTCTCGTGAATTAATTAAACTGCACGAAATTTCCGTAAATAGAAGACCTCTTTTTGAACACACTTACATAACTAACCTGCTGTGTATGTTTGTATTACAAATGTGTACTTAATTTAGGCATTCCGAATTTAATTGTCTTACTATAAATAATACTCTACTACTGAAATGAAACATTGTTCGAATCAATTAAAAGCACACAATGGATATTTATAACGAGTAAATCGAGATCTCTAATTATGGAATGCCATACAAAAGCTAAAAATACTTATGTAACTGAAATATTTATAGAGCACAAGTTCGAAATACTTATGCAATCGTACAATGGATATTATTTTAAACTGAAAATGCAACGATAAAAACAAATAATGACCGTATTATACAACCAAAACGAACCTGCAACTGAAGCGCACAATGTTAAGGTCGACATAATTCGTATTTCTTTTTTTATTATTGGTCAATAATCAATAGTCCATAAATAAACAAAATACTGTTTCTCGAATAAAAATACTGGGAAGTATAAATTAATAAATTCAAAATAAAATAAAGCAAAAGTTCAGTGTCCAATACTTAGAAACGTCTCTACAGATTTAAAAAAAAAAAAGAGAACCACTCGTATTCATTTCCGTAACAGTGTGTTTGTTTGGCAGTAGTAAAAAAAATATTATACAATATTATTGACCTTGGAAATCCGTCTAAAATGATTTAAATGCTACAATGAAAATAAAAATTCAGAATCAGTGAAACAAATTGGCAATTCTTAAAATTCAATCGTGACATACAAAACATATTTTATTCGGTGTGTTTTTTTTTTGTTCGCTTAATAGCCAGACACCTAAAACCTAACCTAATCCCAACACTCTACTAAGATGGTATTCTTTTAGGTTTTTAATTAGTGATAAATATGGATTAGGTTAGGTTAGGTTAGATTATTAATAGTTTGTGATGGATTTTAAGGGTTATTAAAAAAAAACCTTTTAGCATAACGACTATAGGGTAGGCCATTAAATATATTTATTTCTTTATTTATTTACGGAATTAATTCCATTTACAATACATAATATTACAGCAGTAAAGACAAAAAAAGAACATTATAAGAAAAACTTACAACCTAACAAAAACATTTTTACAACTACACACTAAATGTTGACTTAATGTCACTTATACTACAAGAAAATAAATCTAATTTTACTGAATTTTCAGTAGACATTAAAATATTTACAACTGAGGATAAATTACAATTAGTACGTATATTTTTTAAAGTAAACAAATCATTGTTTCTCGTAGAGTTAGACTTAACTTTAAATTTCAGTTTTTCTAATATTTGATGGCAATCAATTTGATTGTTTAATAATTAAAAAAGAAAAACGAGATTTAAATATTTTCTACGATTTCTTAAAGTAGGAATATTAAAAAATGTCTTTCGACATTGCATTTATATGATAAAAACCGTAAAAAAGAGTTTTGAATTGAATCTAGTGTTTGATTTAAAATTAAGGAGTGTAAAGACCGAATAAGTACGGCATATTCCAACTGTGGTCGCACAATCGAAAAATAGACATTTCTTAAAGCAAAATAATTATTAAAATTTGAATAACTCCGTTTTAAGAGATCTAATTTTGACGATGCTTTAGTTTTTATCTTATTGATATGTTCTTTAAAATTCATTTTTGTATCAAAAAACACAACCTAAATCATTAATTTAATTAACACGATTGATCTTAGAGTTTGTTAGGATTGATAATTAAAATCCAAAATAGTGTTTTTATGAGAAAACGATATAATTAAGCATTGAAAAGAGTAAAATGTTAGAATGTTTTAATATAGAAGAAATGTCGTTAATGTATAGTAGAAATAATAGTCAGAGATAAATCAATGTTGCAAATATTAGAAATTAAATTAGAAGAATTAGGTATAAAATTAGGATTCAGTAAGGGTTGAGTGTAAACAGTAAAAAAATTTTTTTTAAACATATTAATTATGGATTGACCATCCTCATCATCTTCGTTATTAAAACTCATTGAGTTCGGAAGGTTATTTTAGGTTTTGTATCGTTAAAAAATTTCCAAAAATATTTAGGATTTGAATTGATAGAATTTTGAACATTTTTCAAATAAGTAGAATAGTCGATGTGTCTTAAATTCTTACACTTGGTTCTTAAAATTGAGAATTTTAAATAATTGGAATGGGAATTTGAACGTTTAAAATTAAAATCAGCTTTTTTCTTTTGATTAATTAGTGACTTTAGTTTATTGCTAAACCAAGTCGGATATGATGAAGAACGTTTATTATATGTTAGTACAAAACTATTAAGTATATTAAACAATATTGAGTAAAAAATTGAGATATTATATTCGATATTATTGATAAAAAATATATCAAGCCAGTTAATTGAAACCAAAGATGAGCATATTTGATGGTAATCAGCTTTATCCCAATCGTATACAATTTCATTACAATTAGGATAACACAATCGAGCATATCATTTTATGACTTAAAAATATTATTAAATTGAAACATATTCAAGAGAGAAATATTATCAAAAAAAAAGTTTTTTGTATTCGATGTTATGGCAGAGGGAATATTAAAATCACCAAGTAAAATGAAATCAGAGTTGGGAAAATTATAATATATATATATATATCACTAATTGCATTAAAATATTCTGAATATGCTTCTAAAGATGACCGATTAGGAATATAAACAGAGCTTATTGTAACATTTTTGCGGTCAAATTTAATCAGCACAACAACAATTTCCAAAATATTATTTGGATATATTAATACACCGAGATGATAATTTATTATCTACAGCGATGAGCAATTCACCACCTCGGGTAATAGTGGTATTGTGGATATTTCTATCACAACGGAAAACATTGTAGTCATTTAAACATGTCTCTGAATTGTCGACATTTTTAGATAACCAAGTTTCAGTAAAAAAGCATACACGTTAAAACAAACTACAATGGTGATGTTACTGAGCGTGCTTTTTAGTTCTTACTAGGGTAATTATTTCAGTGTATTCGATTTATTATCTTAAAAAAAATGATTAATCATTTCCCTTCAGTTAGGTCTTGCTAAAAGAAACGGCCAGTCACGTGTGGCATACCCGGCATTCACGTGATGTGTTCGGTGGTAATAAAATATAAAAGTAAGTTGTCCGTGATTCCCTAATTATTCACGTTGTCACGTGCACAGTGACTAGTGATCGTGAATAAACATTATCGATCTCGCCAACAGGGTGATCGACACTATATAATCATAAAACTCTACATTAAAAACTACATTTTCGCGTCTGACATCCAGTAGTGTACATCCATAACAACTTCTTAGTGTTTTGTACCTGTCGTTAAGCACATCCGCCAATAATCCTTTTACATAATAGATAACACACCTAACCTTGACATCGGCACAAATAATTGTTAATTATTATGCA